TACGCCAGTAGATTTATATTTGTATAAATCTTATCTGGTTAAGACTTCTGTTGCTTTTTGTTTGAGCACACAGATTCCAGTCTTTGTGCGGAGGTTTTACCAGAAATAGTTTGAGGCCGAGTCCCGAGAGAATCTCAGGGCCTGGCAGCCCCTTTGAAACAAGGCTTTAAAAAATGGTTTGCACAAAGTCCCAGGAACAGAAACTGTAATATTTCACCTCTTTTTACCATGTTGCTGGGATGGGGCTGAAACCAGAATCTTGGACCAACTGTCCCAAACCTTGGAGAAGGTCAGATTCAATAAAAAACCTGATATATTGCTCCAAACCAAAATTTGACCACTAATAGCTGTTTTTGACAAAACAGTTCTCTCAAAAAAATGCTGTTTTGTTGGACTTAAAACATTTTGAAAGAATGTTTTGATTTCAAGGAAATTTTAAAGGAGAAAGTGAGCTCAGTATTTCAGTAATGTCAAAAAGATTTGCTTTGATATTTCTTTCAAAGTACTTACATTTCATCATTTCATGATTCATTACGTTAGTATTTTATAACTTTTATACTATAATATAGTGACATATTCTGGCAATATCAAAATAATTAACTTAGGTAAATTTTTGACATTAACACTTCTGTAATAAAGGGAAAACACATGTACATATTTAAGAAAAATGAGATAAGGACGATTTCAACACAGGCCTGCAATTCAGTTTGTTCACATGTGGTGCAACACAGGCACAGAGCTCCACTGACTTCAGCAGAGATTATTAGGGCTGACGTCGCATGGGATTATGCTGCACATTTCATTAAATAAGCTTACTGATGTTCAAAGGAGGACATAGGCAGGTTCGTAACTCACACGGCAAACTGCAGGCAGCTTCTTCTCAGCTGGTAGTTGTCACCTTTCAGCTGCTGTCAGAGATAGTCTAAACCACAGATGATTTAAGCTAGCACGTTTGGCTTTAAGTGTAGCAGAAAAGTGCTTTACAGAGTTAGCACTGGTCTCTTCCCACACCTGAGACAGGCTGGGTCTGTGCTAGCAGCAATCACTCACTGCGTACTTCTGCATCATCATGGCAGCATCAAGGGGCGTTTCATTGCCACGTCTGGGCCTCGGGGAGTATCTCTCCCTTCTGCCTTGTATTCTGCTCGGGAAAGGGAAAATGCAGAGAGGAGGCCCAACTGTCCCCTCTTGTCTAGTTTGTATTTATATGAGGGACGTGTCCCTCTCTGATCATACTGGCTTAACCACCGCTGACAGAGCAGAAGGAGGGAGAAACCATCAAAGGCAGGCACCAGCCTTGGCTAGCACATCGCAACTAACACCACAGTCTCCCACAGCTGTTCAAACAGCACAGATGTGTAAGCTTCAGCTTGACACAGGACATGGACTGTCCTCCCCCCTCAGGGCCGAGAGGGGACTTCAAGACACTGAGCAGAGAAGCACAGCACAACAACAGTGTGGACAGCAGATGACCCATGAACAACGCCAATGTGCAGTGCAGTTTTAGACAGGCTGATCTGACCACAGAATCAAAGCCTTGGCATTTTTAGCCCTTTTCGGGCATGCTTTCCTGTACTATATGGATCTCCTCTCTGGTCTTTACGTGTTCTGAGTGCTAGAACCATACATTCCGTATGAGCTAAATATAGTTCCAAATATCAATATATATCTGTTACTCTATACGGAAAAGGTGTCTGCTTTTGTTTCTATTTGGCAAAAAAAGAGTTAATGTCTGATGATGAATCCTTTGTGCTAGGAAGCTCTTGGATTGTGCCATTATCACTGCCAGCCCAGGTGGAAAACTTCAGGTACTGTTTCTGTTTATAACAAGAATCACTAAAAAGATCATTCTCTTCCTTTGTGGCAGATATGTTTATATCTCTTTTTCTGAAAGGTCTGCAAAGACATCCGTGTTCTCACAGAAAACGGGCAACTGCCTTTTTGTTTTCCAGGAAGAAATTTGAGAAGACCAATGAAAAGAATTACTAAATAACATGAAGTGCTGGTCTGATACTGGCCAGAGACTCTTTACTAACAGTAAAAGTTTCTTGATCCCTCCTTGCAGAGCACATGGAACAGGCAGACACTGGTTTGCAGGTAAGACTCGGGTATTTCCTTTGTGCAAAATGTTTGGGATTTAAAACTTCAGCATTAAATTATATATATGCATTTCCCATAGAAAGGTCAAAGTGAAATTCTGGGGAAGCTGGCAGAAGACTCTGAAATTTAAGAGAGAGTTTTTAAAGGAAATTGCCCAAAGCAGCCATTTATTTATTTAAATCTCTTTATATTTCATGAAATAAAAAGTTTACCTGCAGCTATTCCTGCTTTTATAATTTATTCAGAAACAGAGAAGGGAGAAAGAATGACAATTAATGAAAAGGAAAAGGACTGCTTTGTTGAAGCACACAGCAGAGAAACATGAATGTGCTGAGAAAGACTAGCAACATGTCTATTGACAAACACTGGCAAACAAAAAAAGAAATTTAAAATATACATTGAAAACATACAGATCTGTGCAAAACACGACTCGTTACCCAAGCCCAATTTTGCAAATACATAATTAAACATTATGCACAGTCAGTACTCACACGATGTTTGGCAGCTGCCTCAATGGAAGTAACAGGTACTTGAGAATTGGTTACTTTATTCAAAACAGAGGAAAGACTTATTGAACGGTCTGAAAGACACTTAGATGATCAGGTGTATTCACATCCAGTCTCACACTTTAACTTAATGTATGGATGGGGCCTGACTGAAATAGAAAAAATTGCATGGTATTTCAGGTCCATGTAACTGAAGTAAGTCACATGGCTAGTCCTTTATTTATTTATATATTTTCCTGGAAAGGAAGAAGTAAACATATTTGTTATTTATACATACACTTGGCACAGCATCAAATGTATAAAAACAGAGGAGCTGAAGACAGTGTACTCTTTATGTAACTACAAATACATATACTATTAAAGCTACCTATTATATCCAACTTTTTGTTCTTGTAAATAATCCTATTTATTTCAATGTACTAAAGACATATTCAGCTTTATCCAATATAAATACTTGTTTTGTATCCATTTAATCTTACCATTCCAAGCTTCCCCAAGTTATTCAGAATCTTTTTAGATTTCTCTTCTTGGAGATATGGGAAGAGTTGGAGGGAGGAGAGCAATCAGAAATCAGCATTTTTGCATCTTACAACACAAAATAGATCCAAAATTCATACTAAATGCTGGGAGTAATGCCAAAACACAGGCATATATTTGAAAATTCTGATTGTGTCCCATATCAAGTGATACCTTGGAATATTTGAAAAGCTGAAACAAAAATTTTAGAATACACTGTCAATAGCATTTATAGCAATGGTAGATAAATGCCAAAAAAACATAACTGTGCAGTCCACTGACTGCAAACTAACAGGTGTATTGAAACATATTTAAGGTTTCAAGTAAGGATTTTCACACAGAGATGAAAATAAAAATAAAGCACATCAAACTACCAAAACTATATAAAACAACACAAGTACCAAGAGCTGATTTTCAGGACAACGGCTTAAAGAATTAACCGCTTACCCTCTTTCTTACAAGTTAACTCACATATTCCCCACAGAGATATGCAATATGCATAAAACCAGACATTTATTTGGAATCCTCCTAATTATAGCCAGTAGTTCCACTGAATAAATAAATGCCTTGGTCTTGCTGTTGGATCAACAGGATTTAACCTGCTCTGAGCTCTATTACCTTCTAAGGAGCTCTGTAAGGAACAAAATTGTATACATATCATTTAATTTCCAAACTGGGGGCCTTGTTTTGCAAAACCAACACCAGCTATAATGACTAAAGAATTAAAATGAGTTTGAGGCTTCTCCCCCCCTCCACCCCGTGGCACTGATCTGGACTTCATGTAGGACTGGGGAAACTCCTTGATTCCAATCTTGACAGGAAAAAATTCCATCTAAAACATTTTTCTATATTCAACACACAATTTTTACTGCACACAACTGTATTTCTGCCTAATTTTCTCAACTTCACTGTACAGTTCATTGCATTTAAATGAACTAATGTATTGTAATACTTTAAAGCCTTTCTGTATGAAAGGCATACAGAAGCGGGAATCAGGGATCACACTGGGTCCTTTTAAGAAAAAAAAAAAAAACAACACTTGGGAGTTTCAGGTTTCAGACCAGGTGCTTGAAAAATTACTTTCCTCTACGCCAACTATATTTTCTTTCTTGTACTTGCAAAGGCCTTTTCCAAGTTTAAGCATAAGCAGAAGAATCTATACAGACTGTTCAATATTCTTAAACTTACGGAAGATTAGGGACAGGATTTTGATTATCTGCCTAGTCCAGAGAAGAATGTAGGTCACAGCTTTCTCCAGTCATATTCACCTATTCTTAGATCTTTGCAAATAAAATCATGTTATTCTTGCAACCAAAAATGAGTAGGGAAGAGGAACAAATTTCCACCTCTGGCTGGCAGACAGAATTAGATAGCTCAGTTTGTTAGTAAAGAAGGAAACTATATTTGCAGCCACCAGATAATTCAAAAAGTATTATGAAACTAAACTGAGCTGTTTCTTCTCTGTTGAGTGCAATAGTGTGCCTGAACAAAGTGGCAGACCTACCTGCTCTCAAGTGACTGTACCACATACTTTCAGGGCTGAGGTGAAATCATACGCTGACCTTACCTTTATTTATCACATATTAAGGCTGTCTGGTTTGGTCTTAGAAGGACAAGAACACAAACTTGGGACCACAGAAACAAGTTCTATGAATGACTAAAACCAACCTGTGCCTGTTGTCTCTCAAAAACTGTCTCCAAATATTGAGTTAAACAACAATAACAACTATTTTAACTGTATGTAGCTCATAAAATGGCTGCTTTCTTCCAGCAGCTGCCCAAACAGCATCATGGGAATTGTCTGGAAAAAACATCCCCTGGCTTATGTCCCTGGCAGAATTGGCAGTATCCTCACCACTCAAGAGATGGTCTCTTAAAATGCTGGTCCAAACTTTAGTGCATCTGTGGAGGAGAAAGAGTGCTGACTTCAGTTGTTACACTGAGGAGATGGTTCTGCTGGTGGCAATAGCAGAAGTGCTGTTGGTCCTGCCTTTGGCTGTGGAGTCAGACTCTCTCTGCTCCACCACTACCTTTTACAAGAACTGCTGGATCCGACGCTTCCCAGGTCTTCTGATTGACCTGCAGGAATCGCAGAAAAGGGGAGCCCAGGTGCTGAAGACTTATGCCGAAGTCTCACCTCAACAGTGCAGCAGAACCTGCTGCCTTCTGAGGAATGGTGAGTGTTTATTATCAAGATTGTGGCATACATTAAAATTTCCATCATGACGTGTGAGGAAGAACATTTTGGGTATTTTTTATATAAACATTCCTTTATTTGAAGAAGAAATAATGCAAAAAAAAATTGGGACATGTGTATTTTGAGTCAGGAAAGCAGATGCACAGTGTAACTGTTTCCTCATCTTCAGTCACAGAGAAAGGAACTTGATAGTCTGAATTTTTTAGAAGACTACACTAGAAACACATGAAAATCTTAGGGTCTGCTTTGAAATTTCAGGTATCTGTTACAAAGTTTGTGGGCAATGCTAACAACAAAACAGTAACTCTTCAGTACACATCACTATTTGCTTAGAGAAAAATCAGTGACACTGATTCCAACAGGACTCCTCTGCATGGAGTATGGTACTAGACTAGGACATGGTGAGGGGGAAAGAGGAGGGAACACATCATTTGGCCTTCTCCGAGATATGAGAATATTCATTTTCTTGGAGAGACCACTCTCTTGTTCTATGTTTACACAATGTTTCTGGTACGACCCAGGAATAATGTTAAAATGACCAATAAACTTATAGCAATAAATAATAGCAGTTATTCAGCTGGCAACACCTTTTCCCTAGCCTTGTGAATTCAAACTGGGAATAAAAATAAGACAAGTCATTGCTTGTCTTAAGCTCAAGACTACACTTTCTCTGTATCGCACTGCATTAGTACACTACAAGAATATATTTAGGAGTGTACAGTAAGTGTGTGTCTGTGGTGCCTAAATTTGACTGCAAAACTCACAAGACTTGAAAGGTTTTTGGATATGGAGGATGAAAGTGAGCTACCAGTTACTAAAAACAGTCAATATAAGTTTTGATGAAACTTTGAATTATGAGCAAAAAATATGACCTTGACAACCTGACACTGAGATAACTAACGTAACTGCTGGCAGCATTCCTAGTAGAAGTCAACTTCTTCCTTAAATATTATAAGGAAAGAACAATTATATACATTTCAGCAATCTTTTTCCTATTTGGACAACAAACTTTTTCTTATAGAGATAAGTAATGGTAACTTGGAATCTTGTTTTTATAATGGTACATAGTCAAGCACAAATTCGTTACAATCTTAACTAAAATACAGAGTCATTACATGGCATTTCAAAGATACCCTTTAAAATACCTTGTGGTTTCCATATAATCCCAAAGAGACAGATGTAGTCATTACCACAAATACTATTGCTAATGAATGTCCTAATGAAGATTTCAAGAAATATTGATTAGAAGATTGATTTGCTGGATTCTCAGTAATAGCAGTTACTGAAAGCTAATCTTATAAGATAAAGAACATTTGAAATAATTTTAAAACAAGCAATAAAATATGTTGCTTGTATCTCCTCAAACCAATGCAAAATACCTAATAGTGTGCTTTTAAAGGATTCTTCATGACCAAAGAACTCTATTTCCTTGCCAAAAAAAAAGGGTTATTACTTATTTTTCTTAACTGATTTTATCCAATAAAATCCATCACAGATCCCAAAGAGAATATATCCACAGAAGCCAAGTTCTTCAGATGAACTCTTTCCTACTATTTAATGATGTTTTCATGAAGGATGCAAAGTAACCATTAAAATAAAAACCATTTATAATTATGCTGTGCTAAAAAACAGAGTTTCTAATGGCAACAGAACTTTGCACAAAATTAGAAGATTGGAAAGGTTTCAAAGATTTCACTCCTACCTTCAAACAAATACATGCATTTTCAGGTGTTTTATATATTCTTAAATAAGATGTTCTCTATATCAGAAACCTGCATAGTATTCATGTATCACACTAAAAACCAAACATTAAGTATGCTATTAGCACAAAACATCCGTTCTTCGCTCAAACCCAGAACACTGCGTACCTGGGTCTGAAGGCAAGGCTACATACTGCTACAACATGTGATGCAAGTGAAGAACAGTTTTCTGTTGGAAGAAAAATCATCTACATGAACAAATATCTGAAAATTGTGATTTTTCAAACAATGACTTCAAAAATACCACATTGTTAGTGTTTGCAGAGTGTTTAAGAATCCTTGAACAAAAGATAGCACAGAAAAGCAAGTACTACATAGATATTTCACGGAAGTATTTGAAGGCCTTTGTCTTTTGAACAGTTAACTCAGGCTAAAAGTGATGCAAAATGTTCACTGATGCCTAAAACTTTTCCTATGTTCAGAATTATTTTCTTTAAAACAGCCAACGGATTTTAAATTCCTTTATCTGTAGAAGCCAATGTTTTTTATATATCATCTGTAGAAATGCCTGTAGTCCTTAGGAAATATATCAAAATAGTTATGTCCTGGCTAAAAATGCTTCTTTTACACTGCATAATGTTTCTAATCTTTTAAAGAACAATATAAACCAAATGGTATATAATAAAACCAGAGCTTTGTAGAATACCCGTAAGATTATGATTCTGTCTTTCACAAGTCATGTTCTTCTATTGTTCTGATAATCATAACCTCCTTTTTATACCAGTCTTACTTCCATAAATATCTACTCTAAGCTCAAGTTCCTATGACATAGAATTGGAAACTGCTGAAGCCTAACTAGAGGCAGATACAGGACATAAAAATTATATCAGTGAAAGAAAAAAATGCTGACAATCCTCTTTGATTTAGCTTTGATGACAAATTATATCTTTACCTTGCTATCACTAAGTTTAGGGCCCCGGTTTTACATGTAAATATTACTAGTTTTGTTTCAGCTAGGCAGACAACCTTGATCTTTATGTATAAGTAGCTAAAAAACACAAGACAATATAAATTCTGTAACGGCACTTCTGCCATGATTTTTTCTTTCACAGAGCTGCTGAATTTGTATTGTTCAGAGTGCATTTTCATTGCAAATCTTTATTTAATTAATTATATGCATTTTTTGAAAATAATGCTTCTCTCTTAGAGCAGATAAGTTCATTATGATAAAAAAAAATCAATGCATGTATTTAGTGTGTTCAATCTATGATGCAGTATTGAGACTAACAGATGAAAAAATACAAAAAATACAGAAAATATAATAAGCACAGGTTTAGTGTATTTTCTTCCTTTTCTTGTTTGTATATGGGTCAGGGATTTTTATTTTTTTTTAGTTACGCATAAAGTGGAAAGAGTTTCAAGACTTTTTCTGTTGTTCATTGCAAAAATATTACAAATTATTTTTATTATTTACAAACATGAGAAAAATGTTTGGAATAAATATGTAAGTAAATAGAATACATTTATAAAGCTAGGTAGTTTCCTAAAAATTTATGTAAAAAAAATCTTTTTCATAAGGGTGTTACACAAATATACTGTAACTAAAATGCTTTTCCAATATTTAAAAAAAAAAATAAAGATCACAGAATTATTTTAGAATTGTTTGCCTGAAGCAACGCTTCAGCCCTATTAATTCACGTGTTCTACACAGTTACATAAACAAATACAGATCTTATCTTAAAAACTTATTTCATATACAAATTGTCCAATTTAGAGTTGGTATGCTAAGTCGACAGAGTAGGTATGCTACGATTTTCTCAAGTGCAAAGCGTGAGATTCAGAATCAGTATCAGAAAAATTCTCCTTAGCTGTTTAAATAATTTACAGCATTTTCTGCTATTGGATGTGACCCCTGCCCTGCCAATACTTTTTTGAATTGCAGGTAGCCATTCAGGTTATTAGTTCAGGTATGGAGGTTACATTCAAGGCAGGTAAAATAAAATAAATAACCCCAAAATACTTCATACAACTGAAAAAAACCCCTCACATCAATCCTGCTCCAAGCACATTGATAAAAAATAAAATTAACTTTTGACATGAGATTTTGACTTGAGATTTTGATGACTCGTGAGACTGAAAGAAGAATCTTTCCTGCTTTTCATACAGTATGACTCTAACTGTAAATATTGTAGCATATATTTTCAATCTAAATCTTAAACCACTAGGATTTGGGCATCTACATACTTTTGAAAATTGGGTTTCAGTGACAAGTTGTTCAGGTATTTTTTCATTATTACTTTTACCCTGATTACCTATGTGGGAAGATAGAACTGAATCTCCAAACATAAAGAATTGTCTAAACTACTTTATTCACAGAAATACAACAGCCCTAAGGCAAACAAGAAAAACAACTGGGAACTGGCAGCAGGGCAGAATGTCGCTTACTCATTGTAGTTCAGGATGTTTTTTTAATCATCTGGGTGAAACGAATGGTTGGAATCCAATTTTAAGTAGACACGCACATTACACAGGAGCAAACATCTGAAAGTTGTCTTCCTTGACAACTTTACTTTTCAAAATGGTCCACCCACAGCAGCTGAGATGTGGAAGGCAACTCGTAGGACGAGAACAAGCTAAAGCATATGATTTCATTTTATCAGAGGCACATTTTGAATTCTTCCTAAAATAAGAATATAGTTATAAGTAGTTCTACTTTACTGACTAGGTGATTAATTAGTTTGTATGATAAAGAGAGAACCACAGATTTAACATAGTATAGAGCTGCCCAGTAGTAATGATCTTCTGATGTTAAATAATGTAATACCATGCAAAATGCAAAATTATCATTATGCTGATAAGCTCAACTTTATTCTTTATATATTACAGTTTCCTGCAATCTAGCAGTGTTCTACCATGGAGCTATTCATGAGAATAAGAATTGCCTGCACATGTCTTGCCCAGCATTGGAAAGTTGCATACTAAAGGCTAGAATCAATGTCATTTTGTACAACATCACAACAGGTAACTAAGCATTTCATTTATAAAGGCTGAAAACACAGCAACTGTAGGAAATGTTAAAATTATACTAGGTCAGCTACTGTGCTTAAAAGGTCTTCTGAAGAAACATGCAATGCTAAACAAGGTTAAGACATTTTTCCTTTTTCATTAATGCACCTACTGCCCCCTTTTCTTCCATTCAGTATTTGAGAAAGGACTGTGAAGACACACCCTGCCTTCACGATTCAAGTGACTCTGATACCCAATCAACACTATGCTTGAGGAAAATACCATACCAGATCTGAGAGACTGAGGCTGTCCACTGCTCCATGTCCCCAGACCAAACCAGAAGCAAGGCTGAAAATGTATTTCCATTAGGCACATGCCCAAAGAGCACATATACATCCCACAAGTATACATATATAACACAGCCAGCCACACAGGTTACACAGATATTGCATAAAGGAGACACAAGAACATAGGCAGCAATCAAGAGCTGCATTCCTCTTTTCTGTGGCTGCATAGGATGGAGACCTGCTAGTGAAGTATATATCTACACATACGTGCAATGTGAATTCACCCCAGCAGCTGAGCTCAGATGCTCAGTCTGCTCAATAGCTACCCCTGCACCCCAGTCTCCCCTGTTGCTGTTGCCCAGACATATGAGCCCCTAAAAGTGAAGCCCCTCTCCAGTTCCTGGTGCAGACTGTCTCACACACACACACAGACAGACAGAGCTGGCCAGGACTCCACTAGCCCCCAGTAGCCTAGATCTCTCCCTTTCCTCACCTTTGGCTCCTGCCCTAAGCATCCCACAGTAAGTCCTATGCAATCCCAAAATGCACTTTGTCTTGCATCCCATAAGGAGTCCCATAGTCCTAGGCAGTGATGCCCCCAGTCCAGAAGGTGTTGATGGGTATTACCTGGGCTCCATGACCTGCCACGGTCTCCACGGGCTTCTTTTGTGGGTGTGCAGATGAGCTTTTATTACGTAAACTAACATTGTTTATGATTTAATAGGGATTGATCCAGATCTTCTTATTTTTGCAAAAATGGCATCCAAGGAGCCAAATACTCACTCCTCACCGAATAAGTATGAAAGGCAAAACAGTTCAAAGGCCTCTGAGTGGGAAAGATGCCAGCATCATAATGCCACATCAAGTTCTCTTCTGCTCCAAGCTCCACCTTCTACCACTAGCCATGGCTTAACAGCAAACGCTTACACCTCCAGCACTAAGTCAATCACCAGCTCGGACAAAAAGACTGTACCCTCAACTTTGATATCCAAGTCTGCCGAAGTATTATCCCACATGCACACTCCTCCTCATCTGAACAGCAGTAAACAACACTTAAATGAAACCAAAGGCTACAGCGGTAGGAATTACACTTCAGATGAGGCACCTGCTTGGGAAGCTGCAGCTTTGGGTGTCTGGTTGATTCCTGTTGTTCTTTGCTCTTCTCTCGTCTTCCTTTGCTGTTGTACTGTTGCTTTCACAGCAGGGCGTTGCAGAAATAGGAGAGGTCAGTATAAGCCCATAAGGAGAAGAAGAACAATGTCGAGACAATTCACAAAATATACTGCTGTCAAAGGTAATTTGTAAAATACTGTCACCATCCTTGCTTTGGAACAAACAGTTTTTTAAAAATTAATTATATATACCAGCTTATTTCTTTTACAGAATCAAAGATAATTGATGGTTTCAGAATCTTTCGATTGTAATCTAATTCTCGACAGATGAAACGCAATTCCCCTGTCTCTTCCAGTAAGAAGTACACACTTAAAGCTCCCACTGCATGCTTACAGGTGTTAGAACACATTTTCGTTCATAATCTGACCTAGACTAATGCCTAACAAACAGTATACACTAACTTCAGAAAGCAGATTCACTGCAGCTGTATGTATTCTTTCCCCCAACTTCAAACCAACCTCAGAAAATTAAGTGTAAGTGCAATCAGTAAAACAGACTGAAGCTTTATAGTATCATAAAATCATTTAACTGTAATCATCCTTTAATTGTCTCAGATCTAGTTGTTTCTATAAAATCTGTCCGTTTTTCTCCAATTATGTTCTAGATTGACCTTTTTCCCCATTTATCCCTAATATTGAGACAAAACAATTTACCCAGCACTCTTTACTTCTTCAAAGAGAAACACCAAAACCGACCCAAGTTCCCAAAACCACTGAATTCCATTAACTCATAACCAAACGTCTGATCATTCGATCTTTATGCTTTACCTTCCCTTCACTTCTCACTTCACTCTTCTGATGACAATCACTTCAAATGTTTTTCAAGCCCCTCTAGGAACACCTTCAGAATTCAACTGCTTTTGTAAACTTACTTGCTCTGCAATGCATTGACAAATCCACTTTGTCACTGGCTAAGGAAAACACATATGTGGCCAACATTTGCTCATGCCTTGCAATTAGCATGTGTTATCCACCTTGACTTGCTTTTTCTTGCCTACTCATATTTATCCTTTACATCATTAGCTTTTTAGCACAGGAATAGTCATTTAGTGCATGTTGCACAGGAAGAGACAAAATGTTTTGAAAGCTCTAGAAGTTAGCTTTATCATAAACAATCCTTTTTTTTTGTCATCTCATCCTGTATATTCTGTTCATAAAATGCTCCTCCGGAACATAACTCAAATGACTAGATCAACAAGGTGGCAAGCTATTTCCTCGCCTTACCTTACTCATGTGCTCATCATCTTAGGGTAGTAGTCATGGACCTGACCCCGAAATGCAAAAGTCTCAGGTCTGATTCATTTCATTAGAAACCAAAGGCACGTGTATGTCAGAGGAGGAACTTAGTTTCTCAACCTGTAGGTTACTGTGACATGCTTTATATCCTTTTGCCATAACTTGCACTGGAAATGGTGATGTGCATCAAGATGTCAGTATGATCTTTTTCAGACTAGGAGCTGCAGACCCAGTGGTTCAGGATTCTCTTTGTACAGTGCTCTACCAACCAAAATCTGAAGGAAATGTTCATGGCTCAGTGAAACACCCTTCTGTTAAAGACACGGGCAGGCATAACTGATTTCCATCTACAAAGTCTTAATCAGAAAATGAAGTTTGCAAACTTCATGTTTTGATCTCTGCCACAGATAACATTCAGGTGCTTCACACATCATGACAACCTGATTGAATATATTAAATAAACAAACTGATTAAGCACATGCTCCAAGTCAGGTTGTGGTACTTTTCATCTCACTCAGTACTGACGACAAGCACATTTCCTCAAAGGATTCTCCCACAAAACACTTCAGCCAGCATTGTCACATCAGTTTGCAATGAAAGTGCTTTTTAAATTACTTTTTTTTCCCCGTAATTTTTAAAGTCATGTATCCAAGGAAAATACATTTTAAAACCAACTTGCATCTAAAATCTAAAGATATCTCAAAAGCAGATGTAAAATCCAGCTAGTCACCTTTCTCCAGGTCTATTTGCTACCACATCACCCAATGCAATGCAGTAATACATAAACGTATTAAGAACTTGTCTTTTTGTTCGAAATGGTCCAAATAATAAAAATGGTGAAGCATATGTTTGCTGAATAAACACCCAATGCCATGCAGTAATACATAAATGTATTAAGAAATGTCTTTTTGTTTGAAATGGTCCAAACAATAAAAATGGTGAAGCATATGTTTGCTGCCAAAGAAAGGCTCAGTAAAACCTGCACTTTGAAAAACTTTGCATTTATATATGAATAGGAGTTAAAAAGCCTAAACCTAGACTCCGAAAAATACTTTGTAAGAGAGAGAGATCTGCACTCCGTGATGCCTTTCTTTAAGTTGAATAGAGCCATTGAAATTCTGCTTGTGTTCATGTTATAGTTTCAGTAGCTCTGAGACAGAGGTGCTACTTGAGAAATTAAGGCATTTCAAACTGCACAAACTTAATTTTCAAGATTTTGCAGCACTGAATTCCACATATAACTTATCCTGAAAATCAGGGAACATACTAAAATTATTATTGCATGAAATTTTTAGGATACAGGTCCATTCAGGTAGAAAAATTGTGTTCTGTTCCCTAAAAATTCCCCCTGACTTTCATCTGCGCTTCATTTTCCTTAGCCTAGAGTTTTGCCAAGCATTGCTGAATATTAGTTATCTTCAGTTAGAGAGGCATATGCGTTTTTTGTTATATTTAGTTATGTTATAGTTTGGATTTTTTCTTATTTGAATATAAATATTTTCCCCCCATTTTCCAGGTTTTAAAGAAAAGAGAGTGTAGAACACCTCTTTCTCCCTGCTTCACATAATAAGGTTTCCTGAACTGTTTTAACAGTTTGAGGCGGTAGTATTGTAACACAGTGTCCTTTACCCATGAATTTATCGTACTGAGAAGAATGGATTTCTGATTCAACTCATTATTTAATCATGCCTATAAAATACGGGAAGATGTTTAAATCCACAATATAAATTCATAATCTATTGCTGAACTTGAAGCCACATAAGCAAGACCATTGCATGTCTAAGGCAACATAGTTCTTGCAGTATTGGTATCCTGCTGTACCCATATGATACTGGGTAACATGCAGAACAGGGAAACACCAGAAGCAAAAGTGAACACAGGACATCCCCTCTCTCTTCTTTCTGTACAATTAAGACATTGATGTTTTCAGATAAATATTATGCAATTTAATTCAAAACTGAGACAGATTCTAACATATTGCAATACCTTTATTGTACGAGACTTGCACTATTTTCATTCCCCAAAATCCTTATTATCTATCCTTACCCTGACTTTATTCAGGCAGGGCTGCTACCTAAACGCCCCATGAAACATCTGCTAACAGTCTGGAGTGCTGCAAAGTCAATAGTGCTATACTTCTTCTAGCCTGTTTAACCCTTCATTTGCTATAAATGATCCTCTATAGCAGCTTGAATCAAGAAAAAAGAAGAAAAGCTAGTTGTAAGGGATGGATGCTACTAGCAGAATTGATTTTTATTTTTTTTTAAATAAACTACTGAAAAAGTGAGAACTTGCTATTCTTACACCAGTGATGTTGTGTACTTACAAATGAAAAGACTAGTAAAGAAATCCTTTCACTGGACATGATACATTCCAACATGCCAGAAACACAAATCTCCGCAAGAAGGCATTAGTTTTAATAGAAGTAAGTCATAGGTAATATACTATTTATTTTAAAACAGGTGTGTTTCCACCTCATTTTCCTCTCAGAAAGGTAACTTCTACCTGACCTATCAGTTGTGTGATCTGCAGCCAAGTCACAGTCACCCTTGGTGTCTGTGGTTTCCTCATCTTCAGACTAATGACTGTACAGTGCACTTCAGAGCACTTTGATGCTCCCCTGATACTCACCCTTAACTTTATGTTGTGTAGAATCCTATAATGGAACTAGGAGCCCAATACTCACAAGAAAAAGCAAATGAGACAGAAGTGAAAATTTCTGTGTCCCATGCACAAACACTTCTGGGGCAGGATGGAATGACTAGAACATATAACAGTCTTGATTTGAACATAGAACATATTCTTGATTTGTTGGCATACAGAGAAAAAAAAAGGCAGGAAAAGGGTTATATGAAGCACAGTAGCAGAACTACTTTATTACAGACAGGAGAGTCACAAGAAAATAAATACATGCATTTTAAGTATGAGGGAAACTGAAAAATGGGTAGAAGGAAGGTTTGTCCAGACAGCAGATCCCTTTTTAGGTAACCATCCCTTTATCCTCTACTTGTGCTTGTAGCAATGCTATGCATGAAAACAGGGCAAAAAGTGTCAACTCCAGTCAGAAGTATAAATGGTTCCCTGAAGACCATGTTATATGTAGGGGCTTACCTACTTTTCACCCACAGCCAGTCACATTCAGGTCTTGGGGCTTGGAGAAGTTACAAGTAGTTGTAACATCGCCCCTCCTTGCCAAAGACTGAACTACGTCTCTGTACAGGCCTTCTTGTCTAATCTGAGCAAGAGATTATGCTGAGTGTCCGATAGCCCTTCTTTAAGGGGCAGAAGTGCGACAGAACATAGACAAACAACATCAAGAAACTGTCTAGCAACATGGAACGTTTCACTTCACAACTCTTAGCACGCTGTTTACTAAAGACATCTTATGCTGGTGATTACAGTAGTTTCTAGATGCAAAAAGTTAGCCAGAATACTGACAAAGCAAGTTCTTTTCCAGTTTGACCAAACGCTAGGGCTCAACCTTTCTTTGGAATGTTTATATGGGAGACAAAAAGAAGGTTAGTCTCCTCAACAGCATCAGTGAAACTATGCATCACAACTATTCCAGATGGCCAAGAACTTAATTCATGTGAGCTTTCTTCCACTGGAGACAGCCGTAAGGAACTTACTTTTCCAGTTTGCGGGGGCAAGTGTTTGGATTTGAAATGAGACATCTGCTACTTGGAGATTAGAACAGTGACAACAAAAAATCACGTATAGTAGCCTTCCTGCTCAAGTTTCAAACTATGATGGACAGGGTTGCCTGAGGTCAAGGCTGCCATGAACTAGCTCTGTGTTCCTCTTCGCCAGTAAATACCAGTAAAAGAATTACCTATGGAGACAGCCAATGCCTCTAGATATTATGTGTGGTTTTTCACTCCTCCTTCCTTCTGAATTTATGCACTGGGGGGGGCTAGCCTGCTTCTTAACTGTTATTTATCTACATTTCTATTTAAAAGTAACATGAGCACTTCCATGTAAGAGAAGAATGTACATACACACAGGTATGTATAGATAGATACACACCTTAGAGTCATGCATTTATGTTATAATATACAGTATTAAGTGACTATTGCTAAGGACACACTTATTACTGTGCTATAGAGTAGCTTAACCTGTAAGTCTATTACTCTAACTCTTCACAGTTTTTAAGCTTCAGTGCAGGTTTCCAAGGAGATGGTCTGCAAGCATATTATAGGAAATTAAAGATGTGTAGTTTAGTTCGTATAAACACATGCCACGTTATACATCAACAACATTGGAAGACTCCCCCTGGAGTCATGATCTCAGTGTTCTAGGTATTCTACGTTCTCTACAGAGAAATACCACCATGCTGAAACACAAACAGTTTGGAAGGAGAAGCAGAAAAATAGAAAGAGAAACATCCGAGATGACAAAGAGCTCAAAACATAATCCAGGCTACCTTTGATCCAGTCCACTGCATTAGACAAGTCCTGTACTGTAACATATCAACCATTAGTAAAAATCACAAGTGCAACTCTGAATTTTATATTGCCTTTGATTCTAGCAGCTTGATTGGGCACTTACAGGATTAAAAACCTTTTTAATTTTGCTCCAGTGTTTCTTAGCAAGGAGAGGAAGCGAAGACAACATTGAAAACCCAGGTTGAAGAGCAATCTTGCAGATTTCTAAGCCCAGCTAGCGAAGTGTTGTATAGGCATAAGGTGATTAAGCCAGATACTACTGGAAAACTGGTATCTAATTCATTTCTGGTGGCAAGCATTGGATGTGGTTAGGGACCACAGTGAATTAGTCCCAACATTGTTCTTGGCCTGTCGGTAGAGACATTTGGGTGTCCTGGTACTCAGGAGACAGCCACCTTTTATCCCAACTGTTTTTCTTGAAAAATTTATAGAATGCATATAAGCTAGGTTTGAACACTTCAGAGGGAACTGTAGAAGCCTGTGCATTTTAGGTCTTCCATACATCAGCTGTGAAACTAATGAAATGCTAATGTAATAAAATGGAAAAATCAGTTTCCCTTGCTGTGCTGTTCTTCCTACCAGCCATTATTAGTAAAGTCAAACTGTTATTTTGACTACAACTTGCATAGAGAGTTCTGCTTAGGTCCATTTAGAGTCTATGAAGAGCAAAGGAAAACGAAATTGATCTCTGTTGCAGAGAGGATTTTATCAGGTCCTCGTATGTCCTGAATACGTAAGGATAACTTTATGACGAAAAGCAAGCTTATGGGGTTTTAGGTTTGTTAAAACATTTAAGGGCATTACTCATGACAGTCTGGTACAAGTCATGCCACTGCAAAACAGAAGTTAATTACATATGCTTGCTAGTACGCCAGTCCTTCTGCAAGCACTGACAAAGCTAATTAAGGAAACAAATTTCTCTTGTGTACATACTAGAACCAAACCGCCTTTGGAATAAAGCCAGGCACAACTCCACCACCCATACCATTCTCTGAGTCAAACTGAAGTTACTTCCTCAGTAATTTTGGTTTCATGGCTATTAAAAAAAATTAGGAATTACACAGAGGTACTATTTCAAATGTGAATTTTAAACATTACCCTCATTATCCCTGAATAAAGGGACAACATCCTTCTGCTAAAACGTCACATTAATATGAATCTAAGAGGAAGGACCACTAAATAACCAAGCTGGTAAGTGCAAAATGGGGATTACAGGACAAACTTTTCTCAAACTTAGCTGCTGCTCTGGCAGATTCTCATAGGGAGTAAAAAGCTGCATTAAATTCAGTCTCCTGCCATATGAAAACAGTTTCTACCTAAGAATAATCCTTCCAAAACTAACAATGTCTTGGAAATAGGAATACATACACTTTTTGGCTGTATGTAAACACAAAACAATGCAAAATCCTACCAGTGAGTGAGTTGAGACACACAGATCACTGCAAAAATCAATTCCTCTTCAGTTTTTTGATAGCCTTATTCTTATGCCGTTTCCTCTCAACAAGTTGCTGGCAGGGCCACATGCTAGGTTCTTTTATAGGTATGCAGAATCCTTAAGTCTGATGAATAAAAACTTCCTCTGCCCCTTTCAGAAAATGAAGGCTTTCTCTCTAAGATGAAACCTTAGTAAGACAGGAAGGAACAATAAAAGCAAAAATGGAGTTATTTATGTCCTTTCCAGCTGATATTTTTAAGGGTTTGGGTTTTTTTTTTCTTAACTGTGAGAAGGCAATAAAAATTGCCTGATTCCAGTGTTTCAGATCAATTTCTTTCAAATACAAATTACCAAATATAAGATAAACATCCACATAATTTCTCCATGCTTCACAGAGATGCTACAAATGCAGCAGTAAGCTGGATGCTACAAATGTTATTTCCTTGAGGAGCCTGAGTACATTCAAGAGACACCTCTGCATGCCTCAGGGTACCAAGAATCAGTCCATTCCTATTTAAGCTATATACTCACCTCACTACTCAGCATCCCTCTTTCAGCAACTCTCATCATTCTTCCTTCCCCGTGTACTTTGGTATCCTGTAAATAACTGCTAGTTCACCTTTCAACTACCATCCCATTTGATTTTGTTCCATCATTTTAGAGACAGGTATTTTTTTACATAGGGTATTTATTAGTCCTCATGATGACAACTGAGAACCTCATAGTGCTCAGTGTGCTTCAACACCTCTCCAAAAGTTAAACTACTTAGGTAACAGTCTCTTTATTTTACAGATAGGAAGTACAGATAGAGAAAAAACTGAGTGACGTTTGAGGAAGTTTAGAGCTCTTACATTTCAGACTCTTCAGTAATAGAGCTCAGAGCCTAAGTAATTTCATTGGCTTTGACACTGCTGCTCTAAGTTATATGCCAAAAGAAGTTATACGAACAGTCAGAATGTGATTAAGCACAGAACTGACCCAGGACCTCCCAATCTAAGAAAGCACAGAATAGAATATTCAAGTCACCAATATGACTCAAAACGTACTTTATTCAAAGAATAAGATTCATGGACAGGAAAATTATGTTTACAAGAAAATTCAGCAGTAAAGAAAAATCTGATTGCTATTGAAATTAACGCATCAGGTTTCATATTTTTGGTGAAGGTTCCGAGTAATTATACATCCACGTCATACAGAAATATTAACATAGTAGTTTAATGTTTCTGTAATAATCAGATATACCTGCAGAGTCTGCTGCTCTCACGGTAATGCTTGTATATTCAATAGTTTCTTCACGGATTCCTTATACTGAGACATGGTATTTTCTGTTTCACCTTCATTTTTAAGTGCAATTACAGAGTTTCTGTAATTCTTAACTACTTCAGATGCAAGAAGCTCTTCCTTGGTTACATTACTGACATTCTCTGAGGCTTTTATTCGAAGTAGTGTTTCTACGGCGTTTTTCTGAGAGCAGCTGTTTTCCCAGATATACTCTTCCATGTCCTCCTCTGTCTTCTCACTCTCCCACATCTCAGTTTTCTGAAAGATACACACAATCTTAAGAATTACTCAAGAATGAAACAGAGCTACAATAATTTGAAGAAACTTATCTCTCATACCAATTCGCCTTAAAAATTACTTTGGTCATGGAAGATATTTCCCCTTCTTGGACTTTAGAGTCCAAAGCTTGTAACTCAAGCCTCAAACAGAGTTCAAAAGGTTCAAATGAGTTTCCTTCCTCCCACTTATCAAGTTCATTACGTATCTGGCAGATATAACTAGACAAGTCAAAACGGGAAGAAAAGCTTATGGACTATACATAATGAATAAGAGAAAACCTTGTAAAAGTAAAATTTTAAATAAACCCAAATGCTCAAGCTTTGGAAGTAGTCACCTAGCACATGATTTTGGTATGCTTAGATGTGAAGTAAGACAGCTCATACCAGGTAACCTATGATGAGACACAGCATTCCTTCACCATTTGGGAAACGTTTTAATTGTGACTCATAAGGAAAAGGACAACCAATTAATCCATTTGATCCTCCTGCAAAACAAATTGTTCCTCAAAAGAATTTCTATCCACAAGGTGCTAATTTTTACCTAATTGGTGTTGCAAGATTAGACGGGATCAAAATTTGAACACAGACAGAAGACATCATCCCCATGCCTGTAAATACTTGGCTTGTGCAGTTGTTCTGTATAAATTTTGTATTTGAATATTTCTCCAATTCAGCAGGCCTTCCTCTAGCTTCACAGACTAAGGGATATTTCGAACGTTACAACCTGCTTTTTTTATATATATTTAATTTTTATTGTACTTTTGCAAATATATATGCTTTGTAGATATATTTGTATTTTTAGATATTGTACATTGTACATTTATTGTACATTTATAATTCTTTAGTACTTTACTGATGTAAACAATACATAGCACCCTTATATTATTTCAACTATGTAAGAATCACAATTTGAAGTATTTTTGGTGGTCATGTTTTTCTTACAATTGTTGCAGAAGTCATGTCTAAACAAAATTTATATTTTTCTGGGAGTAAATTCAAGAAACATTATAATAAAGCATTTACACCGTATGGATTTTTTTCTTTCTTTCTTTTCTTTGTTTTTTTAAATCCCTTGCCAGAAAGAGCTCTTCAGTAAATTTTTAGCTATGCTATGCAGAATCCAAATAAACCTGGTAATCATGAGAGGGTTGGGGTGGGGTTTTTTTTGTTTGTTTGGGGGGTTTTTTGGGGGGTGTTGATGGTTTTTCATTTGTTTATTTTACAGTATTCTGTTCACTAGGCAACAAGGTTGCTGCAGTCAAACCATAATATTTCTAACATTTAATTCAGACCCAAGATTATTTTTTTCCCCCTACAACTCTGTGTGCTTAGGTCTGTCTATCTGAATTTAACAATACTTTAACAAACGCCGCATCCTGCAGCTGGTAAATGGAACCTCTTGTCTTTTAAATCCCTGAGTCCACATGTTTAGTCAGAAACAGTGATTAACACTGCTAAAAGGCTCATATGACTGACATTAAAACCTGGACACAATACAGCACAGAAGTAAAAGAACCCACTCAATTTCCGGAGAGGAAAAAAAAACCCCACAAAAACAGAGGTACTGTAGCCTGTATTGCCAAAACAGTAGCAGAACAAGTTGTTATAGTAAACTATTCCTCGAATGTTTGAAAAATACTGCAATTCAATGTGGAGATTTACATAGTTTTAAATTAACGACACCATCCTGTTTTACATATCCCTTGTTTATCTGCATAATGGCCACCCAAGACACTTCTTTCCTAAATTCCAAAAGAACTTTAAAGCAAACGCTTCTCTCACAGGGATAGAGTTTCTCAAGAGTAAAGGAATATGGGTATCGCTCCTGGTCACTCCCTGGACCAAACTCATGTTTGAAGTTCAAACAAAAGATCACTGTGAGGCTTTTAAACACCTTCAAGTCATAGCAGAGACAACAAGAACTAGTTACAGTTACTACATTTACCTCTTCAGGAAAATCCTTCTCTGCACTTACAGGATTTCAGAGATGCACACTGATAAGCAGATTAATATTCCCCTATCTCTTTTGAGCTATACAGAGCAAGAAGATTTTAAAGAAGGCCAAAGAAACTGTTAAGTATTTCTTTCTTGGAATCCTTCCCAGCAGAATGGTGTGTCAAAATGTCTTTTAAAATAAAATCTGACTTCTCGGGGGGGGGAAATGAAGGAAAGGAGATTTGACAGTAGGGCAAGATTTCAAAATCCATTCCTCAGCCCTGCTACAAGAAGCCAGTATCTATTGATACCATGTTGGTGGCCACACCTCAAAATGAGAGGTTATCCTACTGTACACAGGTCCAGATATACGTCACAAACAGGAAACTGAAAAGAAATCACATTTTTGCATATTGAGTGAAACTTAAATACCTTTCCAACCAGATTTATTTCAAGAGAAAAAGCGAATCTGGAATTATATTTTCATTTGAAAAAGCACCCTAGGTAGACAAGGACCCATGAACTCTGAATACTGGAAATCTTACAAGTATTATTGCCTCATTTTAAAGTGTTATGAAGAAAACTGATAAGACAATGAATGAAACTTCAAAAATGAGGTTTTCATCACTCAGTTTTGTTAGCTGATTATTTTTGTCCCCTGCAAATTTAAAATGTTAGTAAACGCTACACTAAGAGTCTTACAAATGAAAACAAAACTGTGAAACCTGGAATATAAGTGTGGCATTGTGTAACATTTTTCTAGAATCCCCACTTAAAGAAAGAGGTTTCTTCAATGAATTCACTAAAAACAATAGCTTCATCCTATCATACCTAAGACAGATTCTCAGTAAGTATTAAGCAGCCGCACTGAAGATGCACTCAGATGATAATTTCAATTGTTTCTCTTACTGAAACTTCCAATAAGAACATCCCCCCCACCAAAAAAAAAACCCAACCAAAACCAAACCACCACCAGAAAGTAATTTTTCATATAAAGTCAAAGGACATAAACCTGTTACTAAATAGGCAAAAAAGAGTGACTGGTTTTTTCCACCTCCTAATGCAAATACATAGAATTATTTTTTAACACTATAAACAGAATAAGAATTTGTTTCTAAGCAAATATTTTATGTGACAGTTTAAGCCAGTATTCTGGGAGGTTTACAAGCCTTTACAGTGCTTAATCTGAAGTGCTGACACAGTATAAACACTAAAATAGTACTCTGGCTAGTGAAATTGCTTTTTACCTTAAAGTCATTAACAAAAAGCTCCAATATATATTGTACCCTTAAGCACAGAAAAAAGGAAAGCATTTCACCATCATTTTTCTTTGGTTTTCTTGCAGTCTAACTTTCATAATTTTGCTGTCACAGCCAGAAGTAGAATTGTCAATTCTCTGGTGTTTCTTTTGGGGAAGACATTCTAACTAAAATTTGTAAGTGGCAAACAGAAATCTTCAAGACAACTAAAAACATGACTCATGTTAGTCAATTTTCTCATCAATGGTTTGAACAGTTACAATTTTAATGCTGTTTAGCAAAGACCAAGTATTTTAGTGGGATTTTTTTTTTGGAGGGGAAGGAAAGTTTTCTAAGTTGCAAGTCAAATTTCAACCTCTGTATAGCCTGGAATAATTACATTTCTTAGTACTGCATTGAAATAAAAGATACACTGTGCGGTACAATAATCACAGATTTTAAGGTAATAAATGACAGCTATGCAAGCATTTTCCAAATTATCAGGTACCTTCAAGCCAAAGAGGAGTTGCCAAAACAATTAGGTACTTATCTCTCTGGATTTATTACACCTTTGAATGGTACTATTTAGTTAGCAACTTAAAAAGAAATATCAACATAAATTTGTAAACAGGCAAAACACATTTGTATCTGATGAGATAGGATACAAAAAAAATTTTAATTGCTTGGTGATGCAGAATAGGTTAAAATACTTTCTTCTGAATGGGCAGAACATTATTTTCTAGGACACAGCAATGGCACAGGGCAGATAAGACCTCTAGAGCATGAAGGAAAATCAAGAGAAGGACTGTGAAGACTAAATATTCCTGCAAGGTACAAATGTAAAAGAGAAAACAAGAACGAGCAGAGAAGAAAGAACAGAACTTTGACTCAAAAGATAACATTGGATGTAAGGTACTGTCATACTTGATACTCACAGGCTTAACCTCTGGTTCTGTCACTAACTTAAGAGTCCTCAGCAGTCACCATAATCTAGATCGCCTCTTTCAAAAATGAGGACACCACCTATTTTTTTGGTCTGATGTGGGTGCCTGTGCTTCCTGGGAAGTCCAGGCTTCTGTAAGGGTCATGGCCAAGAAGGCTAATGGCATCCTAGCCCACATCAGGAATAGTGTGGTGAGCAGGACTAGGGAAGCGATCATCCCCCTGTACTCGGCACTGGTGAGGCCCCACCTCGAGTACTGTGTTCAGTTTTGGGCCCCTCACTACAAGAAGGACATTGAGGTGTTGGAGCATGTCCAGAGAAGGGCTACAAAGCTGGTGAGGGGTCTGGAGGACAAGTCTTATGAGGAATGACTGAGGGAACTGGGGTTGTTTAGCCTGGAGAAAAAGAGGCTGAGGGGAGACCTTATCACCCTCTACAACTACCTGAGAGGAGGTTGTAGAGAGGTGGGGGCTGACCTCTTCTCCCTGGTGACAAGTGATAGGACGAGAGGAAATGGATTCCAGTTACGTCAGGGGAGGTTTAGATTGGATATTAGGAAACATTTTTTCACTGAAAGGGTTATTAGACATTGCAATAGGCTGCCCAGGGAGGGGGCAGATACACCATCCCTTGAGGTGTTTAAAAAAAAAAAGGGTAGATGTGGTGCTTCGGGACATGGTTTAGAGGTGGTTTTGTCAGGGTAGGTTGATGTTTGGACTTGATGACCTTAAAGGTCCCTTCCAACCTTAGTGATTTTATGATCTTGCATTTGCATACATTGAAAATCATGTGGAATTGGACCAAGCAAAATTGTTGCACCTTTTTGTAGTCTTGACTGGTTTAAAATAACTGTGATTTATTTCC